TATATATACGCTCGTATGAGTATTTATGCACATTTAAGTAACGCTAAATTACGAACTGATCAAATTAGGCGAGAGTGACTGAGACAACTGTTATCCCCCTGTCAGATCCACAGGGTGCCTTACCTACCGCCGGTAATGCTACTTAGAAGTGCCTAAATAGATTCACAGTGAATTGAATTAAGTTACAAATAGGAAATTGATGAAGTAAAACCAAGGGTATTATTGAAGGAGACGCAACCTATTTAAAGCATGGTGAAGAATTTTTGTCTTCGAAGAGAGCAAAGAGAAAAGAAGGGAGCAAAGCCTTACTTTGGTTGGTTTTGTAGACCCATGTTGGGCAGATTTTATCTAATGACTATAACTAAATGCTTTACCTACTAAGATTGCTAAATTTCTTATCGCAGAATCTGTTCTATGACTCTCTAAGTACATTCACCGCCATGAAGTTCAATGCTTAGGGACCTGTTCACTGAAACTAACAGTTGATCAGACGAAATCAATGCATCATCTCAAGGAGGACCCAATCAAGTGGACAGAGCCTTAAGTAATTACAAAATAACAGAGTTAGTGAACTAATGGAGAGCACTGAATTTCCAGATTAGAGTCACCGCGAACTATAGACCACTACATAACCATTCAACCTTTAACTGAAGTCTGCGTAGCTATGCGATTATGTATGAAAGCGTGCACGAAATTATTTATCCAAAGTTATCTCTCAATTTGATAGGCAATCGGAGGCATACGCCAGTTCTGTAAAAGGCCAATGTTCAAGTTCCCTTAGCAACTTCGAGGGGGTGTAGGTAAAATGCAAATTAGACGAATCTACCACGAAGATGACCTACTAAGAAAGCTCTTTCACCGCACATTCAATTGTCTTGCAACACTCGAAAGTGCCTCCAACTGGAGTGCTATCCTCCTATTTAACGCAATCTGCTCTTTTGTTGGGGATAATTGCACGGACGACAAGTTGTGATAATGCGTTTATGGCGAATTTAGCCAAATTGGTGAAGAATATGCACACACTTTCCAAAAAGCACAAATGTCCGTTCGAATACATTCGTCCTTCCCGCGGGACAATAGGCTAGAAAATAAGTATTAACTACTTCAATGGTAGGATCTGCGCAGTGGCTTCAGAAGTGAATCTCGAAAGCGATATGATAGGGTAACAAGAAGCTTGATTTTGAATGAACGCCTCCACACTCGACCTACACTGACCAGAGGAAATTGCGTTTTACAACATTGAAAGTCTATTCAGGCGCATTTTTGCCTGCCTACCACGGAACAGCCAAAATATTCAGTCAGGTAAAAGATTATTTTCGGATTGCATTTTGCGCAAAGTGAAAGGATTTGAGAGACATACGTAAAGTTCAGAACCATAACCTCTAAGTGACAACACTTTGTGCCTAATGACATTATTTCGCCATTTTTTTCAAATTGAAAAAGAATGAATAATGACTTAAACAAATTTGTAAATTAATTGTCTTAACTATCCTCATCCTTAACTATATAAGTCCAATTCCGAATCAATATGAACACTATGGATTGGCAAATACAAGTGCAATTATATTTTACTTTACACCTCTTGTCAGCTAATTTCCCTTTTGAGAAATTATTCTAGAGGCATTTTCAATTGCAAAATACAGAAACTCCAAAGAGATATTTACCCTGATTTTAAGGAAAGGCATTTAAAAACTGAGTGTAGATGACTCTCAGTGCAGTGGAAGTTTATTACCCCTACTTTCACCCGGATTTGGACAATTAAATGTTCACTTACGGTTCGTTAACAGTGAGCGGCCTGGATAGTCAAATTACCTTTGAAAATAGAGACAGATTGACCAAATTTCGAGGCGTGTTGGTCAACTTACAAATCTTTTAATCAAGCCACTATCTCCACTAGAATACACGAGAATTGTACGGTTAATAGAAAGAGGGAATGGTGGCCGACTGGTGGACACCACAAAGTGCCACACAAGGAAACTAAGAACCTGTGCTATCCTTACTTATAAATAGTGGTGATATTGGTAGCATATGATGCTCAAGGTAGCCTGACGCTCATTGGCATCGTCATAATAAATTAATCTTGAAATTCAGCGTTTAATTTAATATAATTTAACGGAGGTGACATCCATCATCAGAAAAAAAACAAGACTATTCCATTCGTCTACATTCCTATCAATCTGGTTCTAAGTGGATGATTATACACAAACATCGCCACCTCAACTAATTAGTAGGTTTTGAAAGAATAAACTAGAAAATGATGACTGGTAGACTAACCCAAAGTGTTCATCGAAATAGGCCTTTTCAAGACGAGCTCGAGAGTTGGGATCGCTCCATAGATCCACGGGATCGGTTGTGACTCGGAAGCAAATAAAACCGCAGCAAGTGATGCCAAGCAATATAGCGGTGATGAGAAGGGTTAGCTTGGGAAAACGAGCCACGAGTGCGCCTTGACGTGAAAAGAGCTAAAATCAAAGGTCAGGAACGAATCACTGCACTCAACACACAGCCTTGGTAGTTCCCCAAAAAAACTTCCCTACGGTTTCAGTAATGTAGATGACTTGTTCCTTCGAAGCGAGTTTAGCTAAATTAATTGAGCTGCAAATGCATCGAATAAAGTGTTTGACAAAGCTCATGTATGCCAAAGGGCCTTCATTTAGTTTATTTTTTTCATTATTCATTATTAACCACCTTGTGTCTAAAATAGCAAATAGCTTGGTCGATATGTCCACTATTGAGAAATAGTAATCCAGGCCAATAGGAACAAACGAATCGCTATTGTAAGTTTATAGGCAACTCAAGGCAAAGACATAGTTGTCCAGAAAAGCGGTGGCGGATATTCAAGAACCTCAATAGCTACTGAAGAGATCCATATTCTGGATTTTCGAAATTATAACATTATCTTATTTTGATTCGAAAAATCAATCAGATAACATTCTTTATTCCATACAAATTTTTTTTGAAAAGTAAATCACTTCAAAATTTAGGAATAGAATTGGAACTGATATCTGTTAATTAACAGTTTATTTCTTTAAATCCAAAAATTTCTGTACATGAAGAATAAAGCTTTACTAAATGAACAAAATCCCTGACCAGCCTTCAAGGGAGAATTCTAACTCATTCATTCATGCACACTTTCAATGCATTGTAAACTCAAGCCTCTATTTGAGAGGAGAGTTCACTCTGTTGTTTCAAGAGAGTACATGAAACACTAATCGAAACTCGTTCACTTAAATTATCATGATGTAAAAATCACCAACACACAGTTTTTAATCAACAGACGTAAACTTTGAATACGTTTAAATTCCATCATCCAATAAGAAATGTCAAGAGACAATGGGGTCGAAAATACTTCCTCAGTAAGAAAGCTCAAAGGGTACGACAGCAGAGAAGTCAAAGGAAAACCCCCAATATTATGGAAAACAAAGCTTCCTGGGCATTATGCCCAATAACTAAATCTCTAAACTAACCCAAGTTGATCCAAATTGGATAGTGGCGCCAACTTTCGAATAGCATCCAATTGGCGGTGTATAAGAACCCGCAGAAGCACCAGCGTTATCCTCCATCCACCTTTCAATGCACCACCGAATGGCCAAACCAAGAAGAAATACAAGAGTCAAGCTCAGAAATGTGAGAATCATGCCCAACCACAAAGGTCGTTTAAAGAAACGCGATGTTAAACATGGAGACTCCTCCTTCCTCAAGGCAGGTGGTGGTGTTGTTGTAATCTCATCATTATCAACCGAGTCAACATCTAAAAGAAAAGAAAAGTGAACTATATCACAACGAGAATTCGGTCGCATAAGCGTGATAAATGAAGAAACCTGTAAATTGAACGTGATCAGTAGCGCTGTCTTCGTAGACAAAGTTTATTTCATAAGGAGATTGTCCACCTTTGGAACTTGGAGAACCAAGACTCCGGAAAAACGCTTGCATATCACACTTCTCTTCCTTGCATATATAATCAATAGCTCGACCAAAGAAAGCGTCGATTTTCTAAAGTAAAGAATACAATTAGAGCAAATAGTAATTAATCGAGAATGCAAAAGATTTAAATATTAATAAATAGTGGAAATCCTTAAAAGATTTAATGTGACCAATTTCTCAAGCTTTTTAGAATTAGAAACAAAATTAAAACTCTGTAATTTAAATGCCATTATAAAACATTCATTCGGAGAAAAATTTCCCTTTGATTATCTCAAAATGGGAATTAGAGTTGATCTGTAGTTAAAGATAACCTTCGTCAGCTGTGAAGTTCCCCAAATAGCAACACATAATTGCTAAATTGCATCAAATGAGCAATATCGCAATCCAATAGCAATAAAAAAACGGAACAACAACTTACTGCACACGCATCGAAGATTTTCTGTGCCTTAGGACGCGAAATACGAAAATCAATTGATGTAACTGTTTTTTTCGTGCTATCAGAGCTTAATATTTTAACTAGATCGGATTGTTGCGGACTGCAAGTTATTTCGCAGAAAATATTAAGCAATCCATCGTAGCATGTCGGGTCATCGGTAGAACTGCAGTGAAAACGAAGTAATTTAGAAGAATATCGTATTTATAAAAAATGACATACAAAATAATTTTGAATAGGTAATAAAATAAAATTAAGATAGCAATATTTGGCAAAATAAAACGTCAACACACTCTCTAACAAGCATTGCGAGCAAACCCAATTTATTTTCTAATTCAGTAAGCTGCGTTCGATCACAACATTGCTCTGGGCTGTCTAAATTACAAACTTTTTTGTAGATATCGGTTGCCGTTGATTTCGGTGGATGATTCGCAATGCAATACTGATCCTCGGAACACATTCCATACATAACGCAATCCGATGATGACATTTTAATCATTAATGAAATGATAGAAATGAAAAGTAATAACCGTAATTTCCGCATCTTAAGGCTGAAATGAAAAAAATGTTACAATCGTGGTATAAATAAAAGTTACGGGAACTTAATAAAAATAAATGAATTTAAGTAAAATGAGCGCGTACATTTTGAAAATAGTATGTCGCAAATAAAATTATCAATTTTGTAATCGAACACTTAAGCACTCAGAACAGTCAAATGAAATAGTTTACTATTGGGTCAATTACCGATTTCCAATCAATGTAAGGTAGTTAAATTCAATTGACACAGACAAACAAATGACATATTTATGAAAACCACAAACCTGCTTTACTAAATGAATGTAAAATTTGATTAAAATAAAAATATTTGCTCAAATCAAGCTTTACGATTAAGTAATTTTAAATACAATGATAAATCACGCGTGGGTTTTTAGAATATTAAGACATTCTTAGGTCATACTGAAATTAAGAGAACATAAATATTTAGTAAAATTATTGTATGAGTCTTATCAATCACTTCATTCGACTTTCCAGTTTTGTTCTGTTTCAGCGGATAATGGTTACCTCATGAGTAATGTTAGTCGTTTATATGCCAAAAATTCTATCTTTAGCAAACATCCATTTGATTAGTAAACCTGAGGTGGTTTATGGGAAATTTAAAGTATCGCAAGTATTCTATATTTTGGGGACGAAATAAATAATGTAATTCAGCATTTGATTTTTGGAATTTGCTTGCTATCTAACTAATACTATTTATTTTGATGTAAAGCAATAAAAAGGTTTACAATGTTTTCATACTTCTACTGTTGATTACTGAAAGTTTCACGAATGCTTTACAGTTTGCCCCTTCCATTTTAATAATTATCTCTTCGCAAATAACATTTTTCATTCCAGCGGTCAAGTTTTATTTTTTGCTCTCTTAAATTACATAATGGTGTACGAATCACTCAAACTGAAATAAATGCAAGCAACCATTATAAGGAGTATAAATTTTAAAATGTCACCAATTCTGATTTGTGAAGAAAAGTTAAAATGATCTAGAAGAGAAATTCATTTCACTCTTCATGGTGGGCATAAAAACATTAAAGTAGTTTAAAAATCAAACTATGATATTCTAAGTTTATTTGACTTTTAATATCCGATGAGGAAAGGACTCAAATATAATCCAACAAGTGTACACCCGTGTTCATGAAGTTTAATCATTCTTTTAATGAAGAATTATTACCAAATATTTTATTGAAATAAATCTAAAAAATCGATTGAAAATCCATATTAAACACAAGCGATCCAATGATTATTTATGAGTGAAAATTGTCATTTTTTCAAACACCAAAAGTGCTACTGCGAATTTTAGTCAATTCTTTTTAGCAACCACGCAGCAGATGAGCAAGGTTGCAAACTAATGGCTATAACTGATTTGTGTAGTCCCAACAAGAATCGGGAATCAATTAAGAATAAACAAAATGTTGGGGTTCATCTGTTTCTCACATTCTGTAATTTCTTTTACTAAACAAAAATAAAATTGTATCCTCCGTTGCGCTATTAAACCCAAACCCATATTTTCATTTCGCGAGTAATATTCTCCCACTGCAATGAATACATAAGTTGCACATTATCATTCACTTATTATATGAGATTGTAAAGTCCCAACAAGGAAAATTCCCCATGTCACAACTAATAGCGTGCTTTATCAGACACTTAACTTGCCTATCAAAGTATTCAAATCGTTCTGATACTGAAGTGCTTAATAGTTCGCATTTCTAACATCAGCGATGTTCAATCAAACCGCCAATTGATTGCAGGGACATTGTATAGTGCGGTAAAATGCGATACTTCGAGATTTAAGGAATGGATCTTTAGCACAAATTTAATTTGAAACGCTTCTAATTTTCGTACCGAGTTAGACTTATTTGCTGTTACTTCTATTCAATTATTATCCTGTGACTGTAACTTGCCAAGGGTATTGGGACTCCTATGAGCAATCATAAAAGAAAATTCCCACAATCAACTTTATTCATTTATAATACGCTTACCGTCTTGCATAAATAATCAATTTTATTATCTGACTCTAAATAAAAACAGAGTTGTAAGAATCCATTTCACTGTTTGATCCCATCACCATCAAATCCGCTAATTTCAATGAATCCCCAACTGAACAGCTAACCACGTTTCTGTGGCATTTTTCATACATAAAATTCCAAAACAGTGACCTGCTTCATAGTATCTATTTCTTGCTGCAAGAAATTGAGTCACGCTTCACCTTCAATTGTTAAAACAAGCAAACTTTATCATGAATCTTCCAGAAGATATTCTGCAGCTAAGACCTTAGAAAGAGAAGAGTTATATAAGATGTTCCATAAATCAGCTAGGAATACACTCTCCTTCTGGCATATATAAGACCATTAATCTTTCAGTTAAATGATAATACTTAGTAGTAATATCCACTAATACAAAAGTGAAGAACACAATAATGAATAGAATAACGAGATGGAGCACGGAACACGTGCGTAATGTTGAATTAATGTTCCCCAGCGCCGAATAGAAAAAAAGACGACAGCGATACGATAACAAATAGGGTAATGTTTTGTGTTATAATTAGATTAGTTCAAGAGAACATCGGCATTGACGTTATCTACTCAGATAATGTAATGAGACTGGCCATAAAGCTTCTACAAAATTTCGGTTCTTTAGAAGACAGGTTAGCAATAGATACAATTCTGATGAGTAACTGTTTTCCAACCTCCCGGCTTTTTACAAGCATTGAAACCTACCATATGAACATTGCATCGCTACCAGAAAAGTGCTCTACTAGGATCCCCAATGCAAAAGAGGACCTTGCTTCAATTTCAAATTTCACCTGAATTCCAAAAAAAATAACGTAGTTGCCCCCCCCCCCCCCCCCCCCCCCCCAACAACAAAAAGAACACTACTTAAAAATGGCGGAGAAATTAATTTGCTCAATTGACATTACAAAAAAAAACATTAAGGAGACATAATTCTATTAGATGAGGATTTCCACCTTTTGCACTTTCCATTGAGAATTCGCTACTTCGTTTCTGGCGCTTTTTGTGCATGTGGGACCTGGGGATAAAATAGTGGGTCAAGTTTGCGAATAACTTCATAACGCACATCCTCCCTACTTTGATCTCCGTTGATATGTACAACTAAACCCTTCTTCTCATAGTATTCAATAATTGGTACACAATTTTCTCGATGATATTCTAGACTGCAAATAGAAAAGTCCTTATTAAAATGTGGACAGTCCACTTCAATGGGCAGTGATTCGAGTGATGGAGAGTAACGTACCGGCTTTTAAGAATTGTTTCGTCATCATCTACACGTCCACCTGCACGAGCCAAACACCTTCGAATACACTCCTGAAACAGAGAGCGAATAAATTGAATCTAGAGAAGTGATAAGAAAACAAAAGCCTTTACCTAAAGAGTATCTCATGCTCAGTTTTCTCTATCATTCATCCCAAATTGGATTCCCATTACGCCATTTACACGCCAATTTTTTCTCCTTACTTGAACCAAAGTGAAAAACTGCCGCTGTGCTTAAAAACAAACTCCAATTTGACCTTTCAATTAGACACCACTCTTTAGACCACAAGTAAGAAGTAAAAACATCACGCAACAGAAAAGGTAAATACTCTTTTACTTCTCTAGACAACACAGGTTAAAGACACTGTGGCAATCGTGAGAGATGGTAAAAATAGGATTAAGTAAACACTCCTTTCTAGAAGTTTACGCAAACTCGCAGACGTGGCAAATAGAATCAATGCACATTAACACTTGGCATACCTGAGTGCCTTCAACAACATAATATAACGGTTGCAAGAAAATAGAAAGACGATAGAATTGTTAGAAAAAGCGCTCAGAAATTGGCAAGATGGAAGGAACTGAACATTTCTAAGTAAAAAATAGAATTTTCGTGTTGTTTTTCCTACACCTAAATCCGAATAATGATTTGTTTCAAATGGCAGGCATTTTGATACTGATCATGAGCCCTTTAGTTGACTTCAGGCTTCACAGAAGGGAAAAACATTAAAGTGAGAAAA